AGGGCCAGGGAATATATTGTTAAACCAAAGAGGCAGGATGTGATGGTCCCAAGATTTTCCACATTTCTTCACGTTTACTTGGATTGGCCGTTTTGCTGATATGGGCAGAGTGATGGATCAACCGGGAATTGATTCTTCCTTTTCATTTCCGTATCATGATATCAGTGACTGGGGGGACAAAAAATAATTTAATCAAATAGAAAAAGAACTAAGTTTGAGTCATTGTGCAATTTCGAATTAAAAATTAGGGTTTAAAAAAATATTGTAGAGGAATCGTGAACTTGAAATGCCAATTCAATCCAATAATCTCTGATGACCAAGGTACTAAAATGAAGATATATAGTATTACTGGCATTTTTTCATACTGTCCTGTGTAAAAGTGTACGAGAAATAGGAATGGGTAATGCCTATTTTTTTTTATATAAATATTCTTCTGATTTTTTAATATTGTTCAAATCAATTAAAATATTATTAATTAGCCAAATTTTTCGTAATGCATAAAAATATTAGTAATTTTTACGTTATCGTTAATAATTTTGTAACTCATTTTTTAGTTAAAATACTAAAATTTTGGAATATTGACCTTCATGTGTCTCTTCCAATTCGGTATCATGTTGCCAAGTCAATATTACTAACAAAATTGCTAACTGAAAGTTAACATTTGGTTAATTCTTAGTATTTCGATAGATTTGGTTAATAAAAAAATTCAAAAAGGTTTGATTAAATAATAGTCATTACCCAATAGGAATTTATAGTCCAAAATTTGCCCTCTGTTTGGTTGCTGGGCACAAGGCAGATACATGGAGCTTTAGAGACACCTCTAAAATTTGAAAAAACGATTATCCAAATTCCGGGTGTAATTTTTATGAATAAAAAAATATAATTGATAATCCGGGATACCGCTCAAATTTGAAAAAAAAAGAATCATCCTGTTCTCGGTAATAGTTTGCGTAAGATTTAAAAATATTAATGGTAGTTTGTGTAATACAAACCTAAGATACTACAGTTACTGAACAAATTCTCAATTACGTTGCAACTCATTTGTTGTTCTATTTTAGACACTATGTAATAGTAAAAAAGTCATTCCTTATTCTCAACCATTTTCAAATCCTAACAATTAAACTGATTATTTGCTACCCTGAATTTGTATTGAGTTTATGGTTGCACGGGAAGTCTTGAAAGTGTCTTTTCGGTTTTGATATACATTAAGAACAAGGTTAGAAATCAAATATGTGATTAGTTTGTGAATTATTGTCTAGTATGATAAGCAGATTTGTTGAGCAATGTAGATACTAAATCTTTTTTATATATTTTTCTCAGAATACGAAAACAAGTCGTGGTTTTTTTTGTAATTTGTAATAGTCAAATATTTTTGTTTAAGTTTTAATTATTTAATTTAATTTGGTTTTTGGAGGAGGATACTCCTATAAAAAAAATATTGGATTCGTCACTAACTAGTAAGATCGGGTTTTTTCATACCCAGAATGTTTTTTGTCAGAGATGTCCCAAAAGGGAATACAACATATATGACATATTCAACGATCTTTGGAGGTCAAAATTACAAAGAAGAATTAAGGAAGAGCCGCTGGTCGACCAACCGATGATCCAACGATGAGAAGACTTGTTTCACCACGAGATGGGCAACCCTATTATACTTACGCGGGGGCGAAGTGAATCGATGCACGCAACTTGGAGACATCAAGAAACAAGATCCTCAGAGAGTAGGCTGCAACCCAAAGAGTCGCGAAAAAAGTTGTTCAAAATGAGGGAATTGTACAGGGACCGTGAACCTGAGATGCCGGTTCAATCCAACGATCTCTTGATGACCAAGGTACCAAAATGAGGATATAGTTAGTATTACTAGCATTTTCCCATATTGTCATTTGTAAAAGTGTCGGGAAATATGAATTTATAGCCCAAAATGTACCCTCTGTTTGGTTACTTTTTTATTTTCTTTTGTCAGAGATATCCCAAAAGGGAATACAACAGATATAACATAATAAAGGACCTTTGCAGGTCAAAAATTACCAAGAAGAATTAAGAAAAAGTCTTGGCCGACCAACAGACAATCCAGCGATGAGAGAGCTTGTTTTGCCACGAGATGGACGACCCTATTATACTCATGCAGGGCGAAGTGAAACGATGCTCGCTACATGGTGACACGAAGAACCTAAACTTCAGAGAATAGGCTACCACCCAAAGCATGTGTCGGATCCTTTCGATGAATCATTTGAATGATCACCTGCACATCACCACAAAATGAGACATTAGAGATCGATTTAGAAGGACACCACTAGAGTGCATCCCGAAGGGCCATGAGCTCAATGATGAATGCATCATCCAGATAGTCATAAAACTTCCCAAAGGCGAAGTGAACATCATTTGCTCCTGTAAAACCTAAAAAACACCACCCCCTCCCCCCAACAAAATTTTTAGGAGCTTCATCAAATTGAACTAAGATAGAACCAAGAGGAATTGGAGGAGTAGAACTGCGGACTCCAGGAGGGACAAATTGAGAGGAACGACGACTACTTGAAGCAGCAAAGCTGCTTGAGTAGAATTCCATTCTTCCACTTGTGAATGAAATTTTCACACCATGGTAGACGAGAGGAATTGAACATCATCATAAGTGGTGGAGCACCAAGCCTTCCAAATGTGCCACTACGCTAACACAAGACGACTAAGAACCTCCTTGGGAATTAGAGATGGCAAAGAGTCGAGTTGGGGCGGGTTATGCCAAACCAAAGCCCATGGGTTTATTCACAAAAAAAAAACCAGGGTAAAACCCACTGGATTTGGAAAACTCAAACCCAACCCAACCCAACCTGTTGAGTATCTGCGGGTTCATGGATACCCATGAGTTCATGTACAAAGATGCAATTACACTAGTTTTCACTACTATTGTCAACTACATACACACTAACTCACAAATCATTCATACTAATTGATCAATATTAAAGATAAACATCCACAAACAATATGATTAATTGAACGTGTGAGCAATTAGTTTAGAAATTATAGTTAACTAGTTAAGGGTTCCGTGGGTTGTTTGGGGGGGGGGGGGGGTATGGACTTCAGTGCAGGTATCCATAGGTTGGATATGGCTAAGTCCAACCCCAATCCAACCTTCAAAAAGTATAACGGGTTTAAACCCAAACCCAACCCACAATCCTTCAAAGCGGGTTTACCCGCGTTGACCAGGTTGGGTCGAGTAGGGTACCCGCGGATTCAGGTTCTATTATCATTGCTATTGGGAATGCTTGCATGAAAAATGAACCACCGCCAGCCCATAGAGACATGCATCTGGTAAATCTGTCATATGAAGCGATTAAGACCAACAAGGTTCCAAAATTCCACAACCACCCTGCAATGCATAAACGTATGTAACATGGTCTCATGAGCCTTCGAACAAATAAGACACTTCACAACCTCAATATCCTCATCATCACCAATAAGTTCCATCTCTCTAAGAATATCTCTTAAAGGAAGATAACCTTTGATGATACGCTAAAGTTTAGGAGGAACACCTAAGGACCATAATAATTTCCAAGCATGTGCATCAAAGATTGGAGGGATGGTGGAAGGATTATGAATAAAATCAGTAGAGTGTACTCACCTGATTTATCATAGTGCCACACAAGGCGGTTAGACACAAGAAAACTGGGAAGTGAAATAGATATGATAATCCTGACAGTATCCACATCAAACAAAGGGAAGAGAAGGGATACCTTCCAAATTCCGGATCCATGATCAATCAAAGATGAAACATGTGGACCGGGTAAGGAGACTTGAGGCAAAAGAATAGGTCGAGATGGAGGATTCATCTGCTGCCATATCCTCAATGGTACGAACATAAGTGCCAGCTGAACCAATTTGCCAGCAAAGACCAGAATGGAGAAGGGTTATGCCCACAACAATGTCATGCCTAAGAAGGCATAGAACCCTAAAAAGAAAACAAAAAGGAAGAATGAGAAAATTACCTTCCTTTAAAATTGATGGCGAGGAGGTCGTCCAAGTTTTTTATAATCATATGCATGTTTAGCTAGTAAGGTAATATTGTTGCTATCAAGATCTCGGAATCCTAGACCCCCGATCAACTTTGGATGATAGGGCTCACACCAGTAAGTCCATTTCATCCCATTTTCCTTGCCCTAAGATGCTTACTAGAATCAGGCTAAATTCCCATTAAGCATGCGACAAAAAGTAGAAGGAATGTGAAAGTTGGACATAACATAATTAGGAGAGCAAAATCCAACAGACTTGAGAACGACCTCCTTTGTCGCCAACGACATTGATTGGTATTTCCACCGTTGAATCTTCTAGAGCAGGTTATCTTCAATGTACCGAAAGGATTCCTGTTTCGAACGAGATATCCAAATTAGGAGGCCAAGATAGCTATCATTATCTCCATTTGGTGAGACTCGTAGAGCGGATATGATATCTCGAGCTTCCGCTTGGGAGACATTGACACTGAAGGAGATAGTTGACTTTCTGGCCACTCGCCTATTGATAAGATGAAAGTAAAGACTATACACAATCAAGCCATATATCACCATAAGAAAGAATGGCGTGTTATCATTCGCAAGTGCGTGCATGAATTGATCAGACTAGTACAAGACATATTGCACATCCTTCCTCCACAGAAGTCAGATTTTCCCCAATCCATCTGGATTATTGCTCACCCCAGAAGCTCCGCCATGCATAAGTGTGTTATTAAACTTTATTTTTTTTACGTACATAATTCCATATAGTGAACCAATAAATAGACAAGAAGTAATCAACAGATTTCCTGATTTCTCCTAAACCGTTACTTAAATCCCCCCCCCCCCCCCCCGATTCCTAGGTATCAATTCTAGATTTGAACTTTACAAACTTCAATCATATCGATTCGTTCCTCTGAGTTACACCAAATACAACCCAATTTTAAATTACTTTCGGTTTCGATTCCACGAGGCCAACTATAATAGAAAGAGAAAAGACTGTCCGAATCAAATCAAATTGGTTCGATTTCGATCTTATTTTCCATGTATACTATTCTCTACCCCGATCCGATACCAATTCTGGATTGGGATCTCGGGCCATCACCACCCTTTCTACCGATTTGTAACAAAACCGAAAGCAGGCAAAAGGAAGTGGAAAGCTGAAAAGATGAAGAACAAACTAATATTTTTGAAGAAGGATATGATGAGGAAGAAGGTGGGGTATTGATGGGCACTGGGCAGGGAAGGAAGGAAACAGTACTCTGAATCCCCTAATTATTCTGAATCATCATGTCGCCATCTCAATCTGGTCTGTTTCCTTATCTTCCAAGCTTTGGCTGACAAATTCATATTGGCAAACTGTGTTGGTTGATATTGATATCTGTTGTTGTTTTTTCTCATTTATTTATTTATTTATTTCGCGATCTGTATGTGTTAATTAATAGTAGGCCTATCTTGATTTCTTCTCCGCGTCTTTTTTTCCCTTTTGGAGGAAGGAAGGGTTTGAATTTTTGGTTTATTGGGTGGTGAATGTTGATAGGAAGTGAAGAAGGTCAAAGAAGACGGTTCGGCCTAATTTTTCTTGGTGCACAAACCAATCTTCATTTCACCTAAACCAAATTGGGCGCCGTTCATACTTTTTAAAAAAAAAAAAAAAAATAATAATAATAATAATAATGGATAATAACGAGCGCCATCCTGTTTTGAAAGTAGATTGAAGCGCCACGAGAAGACTCCTATCCTCTATTATGAAAATGATTGAAGATTATGTCCAAACCAAAGCATCCCTTTTGATTGTTTCTTCTTTGTTGTCACGTGGGCCCCACACCCCCACCTCATATTCTGGGTTTTGTTCTCCAAAGGATTTTGAAAAATCCCATGATCATTACGGACTCCACCCTTTCTTACTATATATTTAATATTTGTTGTGAAACTAAAATGATAAAGTTATGGATTTTGAAATTATAGAAAAAAAAATTACATTACTTTTGGTGAATCAAACAATGAATTTGAAACAATTCATCTATCAGCGAGCAGTCAGTCAGGACAGGATACGGTGACAACCCTTTTGGGGGTTGTCAGATTCACAACCAAGGGTATTGGGTATGAAAAAAATAAATATATTAATTACCTTTTTTGTATTAATTATATTGGGAATTAAATACCCATATTAAATACAATTTTTTCTGAAATTTAGATCCTATACATTAATATCTCTATCTATCTCTCTCTCTTCCTTTCTCCAGCAGCCACTCCGCATCGACCGACAAACTTTTTCTCCGGCGAATTCTCTCCGGCAGACTCCCTCCGGCAACCTGAAAAAATGTACCAATGCGTTAAAAAGTGTACCAATCTATTAGTCTACTGGTAATTAATATACCAGTGCTAGTGGTACGCTACCAGTACGTTAAAAAATGTACCAGTACTAGCGGTACCAGTAAAAAATGTACCAGTACTAGTGGTACGCTACCAGTACAACGCTACCAGTAGAGAATAACACAACGCTACTAGCACTGGTAGCGCTACCACTAGCATTGGTAGCGGTACCAGTAGAGAATAACACACACAAAAAAAAAATACAAATGATAGTGGTACCAGATGATAGGGGAGTAACTGGTATTGGTACCAGTGAGTAGTGGTAGCGTACCAATAGCGCTACCAGTGGTATTGGTACCAATAGTGCTACCAGTGGTATTGGCACTAATAGTGCTACCAGTGGTATTGGTACCAGTAGAGACTATCAGATCTGGAAAAAAATAGGGATGAGGAAAGAGGGAGGCAGGGAAGAGTCTTGACCTCGCGGCGGCGGAGCAGGGGAGGACAGCGGCGCGGCGGGGCGCGGGGGGAGGACAACGGCGCGGCGGCAGGGGAGGCAGAGGCGGCGACAGTGGTGTAAAGACGGCGACAAGTGCGGCTGGGGCGACGAGGGCAGCGGGTAAGGCGGGGACAACGTCGGCGTGAGGAGGAAGGCGGTCGCGACAACGATGATGGAGGTCCGCATGGTGATTGAGGTCGACGATGATGGAGGTCGGTGGTGGAGCTCTTGACGGCTAGGGTTTTTTTGTTAGAGATATGTGAGAGGGGAAGAGGAGGGAGACGCAGGAAATTGGGGGGAGGGTCTGTTTTTTTTTTTTTTTGTAATAAAAAGTATTTCTATGGAAAATGGAAAGGATATCATGTGATAAGTTTTCCATTCCGAAATTGCCCTTGGTTTAATCTTAACCATTAATTTAAAAAAAGAAGAAAAAGACAGGAGAAAGAACGTATCCGATGGCCACAAAGGTGGTTGTGAATCTGACAACCCCCACATCCTGCAATCTCGAAAACAACCATTTGTAGTTCGACAACAATCTCCAAATTCCGAAATTCCTTACACTTGAATTAGTGACTTGATATACACGGCGGCTAGTTGGTATGTACAGATTACACTTGGGTGATCGAAAGAGGGGAACTCACTTTTCTCAACCTCCGGCGAGCTTCTTTTTCCTTCTTTTTTTTTTTTCAGCTCACCGGGGTGTTTCACAACATGTTTTCAAGCTTAGCTTACATCAAATTAGTGAGTAAGAAAACCGAAACCCAAAAAGGAAAAAAAAAAATACAGACTTTACATTTTTCTTCTTCCTTTTGATGTCATTCTTCTTCATCTTCTTCTTCTTCAATCCATTGCAGACAAAGACTCTAGTTAGCTAAACCTACTTAAACATTAGTATCACAAAACTTGCCATCCATCCTGTTCTGAACCGCTTTCACAGCAGCCACTCTAGCTGCTGTAGCTGCCCGGTTTGCAGTCTGGACCGCGCGGTTCACTTGCTCGTCCACTCTTCGAACTTTCACTGCATTCGCAGCTGTTCTCCTAGCAGCCTGCAGCAGGCAAGTTCACAACAGTAAATAAGGATATATGTTTCTAACCACAGAGCTACTTGTGGTCATCTAATTGAATCTTAGTTTTTACCTGGACGGCTCGCAGAACTGCATCAGTTTGCGGAGATAAGGGAATCTTAATGGTCCCTCCATCCCATTCCCCACATCTCATTTCACCATTCCTGAAAGTGTACATCCCATAACCTTGCTTCCTCCCTTCATGCCACGACCCTTCATAGCAATGGCCATTCGCGAAATGGTAAACACCGAAACCATGGATCTTGTCTCCAAAGTATTCTCCACCGTACCGATCTCCATTCCTACATTCCAAAAAGTAACAAAGATCCAGTCTTTCAGATATATGTAAACATGGTGCTTTAAGTTCTACAGTCCTGTATCAAATCAATCAGTATCACATCAGAAAAAAAAAAACTTAGTAAACCTTAAAACCCCCCTCCATGTTCAAGTCAGCGGGCTTTTCCCCAATGCTAACAACAATAAGTGCCTCCTGTTCCTGTATAACTCTAAAGAGAACAACAGGAAACACGCTAGGACAAGAAATTATATACTGTGATCATTTAATGTTTTCTTCTGCCTCTCTCAAGTCTCTCAACTGTCATTTATTGCTTCAACGAACAGCCTGATGACCCGTAAAAACCCTTCAACTGACCGCCAATAGTATAAACAACTCCACAAGATGAACCCCAACATCCCCCAAAACGGCCATTTATGGGTCATTTCGTCCCCCAATGGGACTTTCCAATATCATCATCTCCAACAGTATAAGAAAAGAACCCAGCTGAGACCATTATGAACTACCACGAGAGTACAATATCTCAGGTAAAGAAGAAAAGGACTCCAAACTCAATCACCCAATAGCTGGACCAAGTTTTCAACTGAAGAAAGTGACAATAGAAATTGGGGGGTGAATTTTAGATCAGGCAAAAATAATTCACCTGAAATGGTAGACACCGAGGCCGTGCTTAACACCACACTTGAATTCACCAACATAGCAGCTACCATCAGCGCAAGTCTGAACTCCAACTCCATGGCTCTGCCCGTTACACCACTCTCCAGCATAAGAATCGCCGGTGAAGAATCTGTAAACTCCATAGCCGTGCCTCAGACCTTGCCTGTACTGCCCTCTGTATCTACTGCCTCTAGCCCAACTCTCGATTCCATGCCCGTCGTATCTCCCATCGATCCAATCCCCTTCGTATCTCCCATTGACGAAGAAATTGTAAACCCCGCTCCCGGTGCACTTGCCCTTGTGGAATTCGCCCTCGTAGTAATCGCCATTGCTGTAGAACTCCACGCCTTCTCTAATAATCCTCTTCTCCTCGCGCGTTTTCATGGCGCTGGTCGCCGAATCTGGCTCGCCGATGAACCACTTCACCTGCTGCTTGGCCTTGGTTCTGGAACTGAACAGGCTGAATCGCCTCCCACTGTCGTCCCAAATTTGCTTGATCAACGTCAAATTCTGGTTAATCAAGCTCTTGTTCTTGCTGGCGAAGAAGAGCGTCACGGCGATGATAACCAATCCCAAAAGCAAATTCTCGGAGGTGGATATCTCTTCCCTCCTCAAATAGAAGAAGAAGAAAAACGAGAAGGAGAAGAAAGAGAAGAAGGCGATGGAGAACATGGTCAGAACCGGCGTAAACCGGCTCGACCCGGTCCGCCGCGGAGCGGCGCTCGACCCGCACCGGTGAGGCTTCCGCCGCCGATCTTCTCTCGTCACTTTATCACCCTTCTTCTTCTTCTCCTCGTCATCGTCGTCGTCCTCCTCCGCCGTCGGTCTCAACGGAGTCGTGAGGTCCTCCTCCGCCATCGAGGACAGGCTGTGGAGGCTGTGGATTGACGATCGAACGGTCGGCGACGAGATCAGAAATGACGACGAGCTCCTCGTGAGCTTCCCCTGGCTTCCCATCTCGTGGAAAATGAATGACGACGGTTCGAGGGACAGCAGGGACGCCTTAAATTTCTCAAAGAAACTCCCCTCCTAGTCCGTACTCCTGTATCGCGAGATCCGTATGATCGACGGAGCAACAGTGGCCGCCGGCGACATAGGGGGGCGCAGGTTAAGCAGTGGCGGAGTGGGCAGTGGAACAGAGAGAGAGAGAGAGAGAAAGGTAGAAAAAGAGAAGAAGAGAGGTTCGTTTTCTTCGTGTTCCTTTTTTTTGGTTTTCGGAGAGTAGAGAGAGAATTTTAGAAAGAGAGGGGGTTTCTCGGGAACTGGGAGGAGGAGTCGGGCATTTATGGCGTGTGAACGAATCAGAAGGGAGGGAGCAAGATTCAATCTCCGCCGTCGGATGGAGATCGGACGGGCGGGAAGAGATCTAAAATATCAGCCGTTGGATTCTCTGCGAGTGCCAGGCGGGGAAGATAGATGGTGATGATGGCGGTCGTGGTCAAACCCAGATTCGGCTGGATTTTAGCTTTCCCGCGGGGGGCGAGGCAGGCCGGCACGTGCCGCTACAAGGCTACAACTTGCTCTCTCTGTTTTTTTTTGTTTTTTTTATTTTCGGGTGAATTCTCCGCTGTTTCGCGGTCGTCTCATAATCAAGCTTACCTGATGGTCCAATCACCGTTGACATCGGGCTCTGCATTAGTTGAGAAGATTGAGAATATCATCTGCAGCAGTGGACGCACATATTTTTAATTTTGATTATTTATTTATTTCTGGCCTTTGCATCACCGGTTCTTCCAAAGAATACCGGTTGGTCAAAGAGATTGTTGGTGTGGTAACATGTCATTCATTTTTTTTTTAATTATGGATGGCATTTTCGGACTGATCCGTTTTGCCTGCTTTGGAGTGGGTCTGACCCGTCCGGTAGGCGGGCAGGCCGAGCATGGATATTCTCATCCATCCGTTCTGTCCTGACCCGCCGCCCCATTCTCGACTCGTTTTTGTCTAAATTACATGTAATTTTAGTCAAATTACTTAACATTTTTCTTTTATTACATCATATTTTAAGCTATTACAAAGTTGTAAACTATTGAAAACCTCAATTTCTTCAATAATTTAACTATATTTTGTATTGTTATGATTTTTTTCTTGGTCTTATAATGAAAATAGCGAATATTTTTAATGTTTTTCATATAAATTATATATTCATTGGGTCGACATGTCCCGACCCGCGGTCCATGATAAATTATCCGACCTCTGACAGATATGGATATCGAGATACCCGCCCCGAACCTACCTAATTGTCATTCCTATTTCAGGTTGTTTCCTAGGAAAACAGCTTAAGATGTCACACTTGGCCTTGTAGGTTGGGACAAGAAGGAATAGAGTATGGGGAGGCGTGTTTTATCATTCTATGGACGGTTTCAAGTTGTGGAAAGACCGGTTCCAAGTTGGAAGACGGAGTTTTTTTTTGTTTTTGTTTCTGATAAGCCACCTACCCTACCCTAAACTTCATTCAAAATAGGACGTTAAACGAGGTCATGGAACCTATTAGAATCAGTGGTCTCAAAAACCAATTTTGCTGATTGGAATATGAGGAGTTTTCACCCAAAAAAAGGAGAGGAAAGAATGTGAGGATTTTCAATCAGCTTAACTCCAAAAGTTAGGTTTTGGAAGTAGTTTGTGTTACAAGGTTGATGTTTTTATTTTTATATTAATGAAACCAGATCCAAGTAAGAAAATTTTAGATATACAAAGTTCTGTTTATTGAAATTTTGAAGATAACTATGATCATTTGCTTTAGGCCTGTTACGAGACAAGAATTTAGGTCGTCCCACTATTGCTAGTTCGAACATGCCTAATCAAGGCCAAATTCATCTAGAAGCTTTCTTGTGGACCAAACAACCCAAACCCAAGAGAAATCGATGGCAAATCTAACCGCCAAGTGAGCGTCGCTGACCTATGTCTCTTGAACCGTCTGAAAGCTTTTTACTTCATCTCCAAGTCAAAGAATCCGAGTTCAAGTCGTACAATGAATTTTTTGGCTAAGTTTATGAAGGAAAACCCCCTATATGATAATATAAATAGAAGATTAGGCGCTTTCAACAAACTTTACACAACTACAAAGTTATAGGAATTAAGGCTAAGACGATTTGGTGGAGATTAAGGTAACTTCGTCCAAAGTTCTGGCCTTTCCTTGGTAGGTAGGAACATTTTCCATGGAAAGAGAGATGATATCACTATCAACATGATGTTGATAATAAGGCTGGTAATCGGTCGGTTACCAGTTATCGATATACCGAAACGTCTGAATTTGCTACCGCCAACCGATACCGAGTAAAATTCGGTTAACCGGCTAACTGGTATACCAGTTAACGGTTAACATATCGGTTAGACGAATAACCGGGAAGGGAGAGGGATGGCGTTCCGATGCGTTCTTATCATACATACCTGGTCAATGAATATTGCTGCAAAAAATTGCATGCCTCATCAATTCATATTGATTAATCAATTAATACTCATCAAAGGAATCTAATCAACAAGCGGAAAGGATCCCTGGTCTGCCGAGTGGGGGGAAAGTTAATCTGCTAACTTGAAGATTCGTTAGCATATACTAACTGATATCCAAAATACATGAACTAATATCCAAGTACTAAAGTATCTAGAGAGCACAAACTAGTATTCAAAGTTTGCTAACTGATATCCACCATGAATCAACTATTATCCCAAATTCACAAACTAATATCTAGGCAACACAAAATAGTATCTAAACAGCACATAATTAGTATCCAGATAACACATAAGAGTATCAAGATAATTCATAAGAGTATCCATATTGAATACTAGTTGGGTGATTGTGGATATTAGTTGGTATCTGCTATCTGGATACTAGTTTGTGATATTTTGAATACTAGTCTATGCTATATCTAGATACTTAGCAGACTTGGATATTAGTTCATACATTTTGGATATTAGTTAGTATATACTAACGAATCTTCAAGTTAGCAGAATAACTAACTTGAATAACTAGGCTGTGCCGAGTGAAGAAGGAAAGAAGGAGGAACCAAAATCTTATTCTTTTTTTGTTTTGCAATTATTCCTTTGCTTTGATCTCCTATTGCTGCTTTGCTGAAGGGATCTCGTTGTTGCTAATACTCTACTGAACGGATCCGGTGGTCGGCGAGCTTCAAGACAGCGGCCAGCGGAGATAGGGATCCGTTGGTCGCGAACTTCAATTAGCAGCAAGCGGAGGTTGGTTGGTGGTCGCGAGCTTCGATTAGCGGCCAGCGAATGTTGGTTGGTGGTCACCGAGCTTCAATCAGCGGGCAGCGGAGATGGGGATTTGGGAGTCGCCGAGCTTCGATCAGCGGTCAGCGAAGATGGGGATTTGGGAGTCGTCGGACGGTGGAGCAAGCTTCAATGAGCCACGTCTCTTTGGTGAGTGGAGAGTGTTCGATTTTGATTTTTAGGTTTAGGTTTGTGGAGAGAGTTGGGGAAGAGGACAGAGAGAGAGAGAAAGAGAGAGGACGGATTCGCTTGAGGGCGGCAATGAGACAGGGAAAGAAGGGAACGTGTAGGTGTAGGGTTGTTGGGTTTCGGTAATCGGCATACCAGAAATAGAACGGTATACCGTGTGGCTAAAACTGGCTACCGTATACCGATAACGCCGGTTACCGGTTTGGTAAATGATTAATATGATAACCTTTATACCGTTTACAGCCCTAGTTGATAATGATATCATCTCTCTCTCTGCTAGCTAAATCCCTTTGTTGTTTTGGATGTGGATTCTATGATGTTTTTATATTACTTACAGTGATTTAATGATATGCATATGATACTTCATGCTATCTATAATGTGTTATCATGGTCTTGCGCATAATAGCATCATATGTTGCTTGGAAACCGCTCTTATATTGTATGTTATTGACTTATGCATGCATGGATTAGATGCACAACTCTTTTTAATTGTAGATGATCAATGCTTAATAGATTAAATCACCTAGGCCAGGGACCAATGCTTTGCCCTCGTAGATGCCTTAAATAGCAATGTGTTGTCCATACTTCCTTGTTCTTGATTGATTAGCTAATGACACCTTCAAGCCTTTGAATTTTCAATTTATTCCTTTTTTTTATCGTAAAATTCGGTTAAGTACTTTATATGTTTATGTTTGATTTTTATTACTCGATACGAGGGGCACCTCCACCCTACATAATTTTCGGAATCATAAGCAATCAATTCGAAGTAGTAAGGAAATAAACGACCATGTTGAATACATCCTTAGAAAGTTCTAAATTTTTCTTTAATTCGTCACAACAACTGAGTCGGGACTGAAATTGTACTCACTCGTCTTTGAAGTTTATGAAAGAGGTAGTCGGGTTTTCCTCTAGCCTTTTTCTTTCCTTTGATGAACAAGCATGCCACTCTCTCTAGCTCATACTTGCATCATTTTCATGCATTTGTTAGTTTCTTCAACTTTGCTTCTTGTTTGTGCTGTCCCGATATCGCTGGTGAATGGGTTTAAGATCCCCAACCGAATGAGGGAAGTTGATTTACTTCAATCCGTGGAGTTCGGATGCTGGGCCTGCTGATCTATTACAACCCGGATTTGGGTTTCGGTTCAATCTCGAATGAGCCCACTAAAGGATCGTCGATTCAATACGTTAATTAAAGCTGGATATGGACCCAAACAAACAACCAGGTCAAAAGATCCATTTTAAGGATAGCAACAATAGGCTGACCTTGTTCATAAAAATAGTGGCAGAGCCCCACGAGGTGGTTGTAGCTGACTGCTGAACGCTGGGTTGTTTGGGCTGATGGCAGGCGAGCCAAGGCCATGTTTTTTTTTTCTTCTTCTTCTACTTCTATAAGAACCGAAGAAAAAAGCCCAAAGAAGGAAGAGTGTGACATAACAGGGGGAAACCAAGTTGAGGACTGAGGAGTTCTATGATTAGGTGACATAGAAAAAAAAATAATAAAATCATGAGAGCATTTGGAGATAGTTTAGGAGCCGATTAGGTAGGTAATAATTAAATCCCATTTGGAAATGTACTAAAAATACTTCGTCAGAAACGTTTGGAAACGTACTAAAAATACTTCTAATAGTCCTCTACAATTTGTAATATTCTCAAGTATAGTGAAACTGACTATCTCTCACTCCTAGAGCAGCTAACACACGTTGTGTTAGTGAACCATGTTAATCCTTGTGTTCTTTACTTTTGTGCAGATTGATGACAAGTAGAATTGACTATTCTAGACCCCCGTATTATGATCTAAAGTGGATTCATTTAATATCTTTAGCGTCATAATACCTTGAATTCGTGCTATGAATACTTCAAGTGTCCTTTTAGCAACCCTATGATTGCTTTTGCGGGATTAATGCGCTTTTGGTAGTGTTCTGTGTATTTCCAAGTCAAAGCAAACTAGTGGACCACTTGGTAACCGAAGTGGACATCAAGATTCAGTTGCTAGACCCATGACACAAAGAGAAACGGGCTAAAAGAAAAGGCACCCAAAACGGCGACCTACCATTGCTGCCAATTTGATGTGTAAGCTCTACTTCGTCAGAAAGTTGTGTGGGAGCTTCTTGATTCGCTGGCCACGAGTTTGGAGCTTTCTGATTGGCTGGTTGATGTAGTAGCTATGGGTTTCTCTCTAGAAAGCCTAATAAAATGTCTATAAATAGGCCTAGAGATAAATATCGGGAGGAGGAGACAAGAGGTCGAGGAAGGGTTGTTACTCTGCCAACAAAGCGACTCGTCTGACTTAGATCGAAAAAGTGAGAGGAGGAATATACCCCAAAAATGGAAGCACAGACTCCCGTTTCTCTGTTGTGGCCGTCGATTCCAAAGGCCCTCTAGGGATGTTGTTTCGATCAATGATAGCCCATGAACCCTTCCCCATGACTGGATAGTTCCTTTAGTTGCGTAGGTATGTGAACCATAGGGGTTATGGGCATGTAAAATTCAATGTTTGGCTTTAATTCAATTGTTTCATTTCATATTTCTTGATGCTTGATTTTCTCTGATTTGTTATTTTCAATTTGAATGAATGCTTAGTAAACTTTGCAGTACTCCTTCGAGGTGCAAGGATTGAAATCCTAGTCATGCAAGATTAGACCAGGCATAGCTGTTCTATTCGATGAAACAGTGTGACGCCTCAAGGGAGAAATCCGAAAGGGTCCTTGTTGCCTATTAGTTCCGGTAAATGCTTCAATACAAGGTGGGATCTAACGGAATACAAAATCGACAGCTCGTACGTTAGCAGATATACATCGAGGGATACGTATCTAGGAGAACTAGGGGGAGCTTGCCTATGAAACACATGTCCTTCTCTGCTCTCTCGCTCGTCCAATCGTAATATATGTTTACTTTTACGCACGCTTTTTTCCTTTTCATTTTTAGTTTTGTAGAACCGGAGGCACCTCAACCTCCGACACCGTTCTCTAAATAAATAGAACTCTACCTCGTTATCAAAGTAAGTGGTCTGCAAGAGGCTCTAGGAAAATACGATCCTAACCTTCGAACCAGGTGAGAATTTGCTACATGCCACGATCGACGACATCACAAATCATTGTCTTACTTGTTATTGCCGATTGCTCCGATCCAACGCGTGACACTATAAAGCTCTAGTAAGCCACTTGTTTCATCTTAAATCACTTATGTCAGTTATGTGGCATATGTCTAGAGTCATCAGTTTCTTTCTCCACCTACCACAGTCCACAGTCCTTGTTGACGTTTGACATTGTGTACTCGGTCCATATATCCTGATGTTTCTTCGCGCACCCCATCCTTCTTCACTCTCTCCTGATTCTTTCTCTATCCAACCCATTCCTTCGTAGTATAACCTGAGTGTACACCAACATATCTTTTATCATTTCTTCCTTTCCGTTTCATTAGATTTGTTTCCCAAGTCTACGAAAGTGCTTTTATTCAAAAGATAGAATCATTTCATCAAACTTGGCGGCCTCATAACGGCGAGGGAAAAAATGGAAAAGAAACTAATTACTTGACTGAAGCCTTCTAATTTCTAAAGCATCTTCCACATGGTTTCTTAGGGCTCCTGCGCGGCCCGATGGTTGTTCTGTAGTCAACAATTTCATAGTTCGAAATGAACTTGAACAATTTCATAGTTCGATCATTTGAAGAGTCGCCGTTTTCCATGACTAATAATTAGTTTTAGTTTGCACTTTGTGGATTAGTTATCATTTTGAAAAGTCACCGTTTTCCACGTTGTTAAATTAATTTATTCGCAACAGAAAGATAAAGAAAGTAAGAGCGTATTGGGCCGACATAGGATCACATGGAGTAGTTCTTCAACGCAATATATATGCTCCTCCGTCCGTTCAACATCAGCCAGCTGAAGATCAAACACAAAGTCTTACTTCTATTCTTGGATTTGCGTGAGCAACTGCAGGTTTCCATTTCTGATCTGATCTTCCACTAACCCACCACCGACGGTTTTACTTTCAACCCGACGTATTGTGAAATTTCATCGTTAGGAAGAGCTAGCCATGCATATAATGGTATAAATAATCTATCACACTTCAAACGTCAAAAAGGACCCGTTGAATTATGAAGTTGAGAATAGCGAGGAGCTTGTCTTGTTCGTGGAATTATTTGGGCATAATGTTCCTCAAATTACTGGACATTTTATTCTTCATAGGATCATTTCACCTAACATTTCTTATGTCGCATCTCCTGAAAGACTTGGTAAAATATATATAAATTTAGAAAATCAAAGAATAAAAAAAGGAAATCAAAGTTACCCAGAGGAAAAAGAATTGAAGTATATCATTAAGTGTATAGGAAACTTGCCTATCCTGCCCACATAATTTCGTCATAGAGATCTTATTATAGATCTTATGCATTCCCTTGCTCTCATCCATCCGTTCATTAACATTCATTCCTCTGTAGATTCATATCGTTTTCTCTATGTGATCATTTGCATTCCTTCTTGTATTATATAAACACTTTTGAAATATAGAAACGACACATTGGCCAATTCATCAAACTATCATGGTATAAGAACCAACGCAACTCTACAATCATTGGGGCTATAGATCTTTTTTGTTGTTCTCAAAATAAACCCATGTATCATTTGCCGAATTTTTGGAATCATCATACCTTAATTTGAAAGATTTTTGTCGCTCCGAACGTCGTTTTTGGAATCACTGCATTTGGTCCTTGGACTCTAGTCACACACACGACACAAAAATGAAAAAACAATTATGAATTTTTTTTTAAAAACAAAAACAAAAAACGAAATAGACACAAAGGCATAATTGGCGCTTCAGCTGCCGATTTATGGAAGAAAATTTAGCACAATCAAGACGCAAATCTTGTCTATGAAGCCAACGCCTACACTTGCTGAGGATTATAGACTAGTGTCGACTGAGGAACAACATAAACAAATAGCTATAGTAGAAAGTCGTATGTTGAGGCTGTTGCCTTCCATACTCATCAAGATAGATACTCGAAAGACTCTTGCAAAAGGAGATGAACGGGGCAAGGGTTTTGATCGAAAGGAACGTCTCAAATGCAGTCATTGCCACAGGACTGGCCACACCAAGAAATTTGCTTTCACCTCATCGGGTGGCCCGAGTGGAAACCACATATAGAAGAGAGGAAGGAGAAGGCTCGTGGACCACGACGAACGAATCAACATGCAACCCAATCTTCCATAGATCCAGTGTCACCATCCTTGATCTTAATTCGGATTAGGTACAACAGATACTTAATTTCTTGGTCAGAACAGAAGCCATACTTCATACCAACAACAATTTTTCGAATCTCAAATGAACATGGCATGTTTCCTATTATCTAACTCTTAATGGGTCATCGATTCGTGTTGCAATGAGTATATAACGAACAATGTGACTATATTATAGAATTCAAGGGAAGCATAAGGCTATATACCAAGTAGGAAAGCCAATTGAATGAAGCTCAGTAGTGTATTAAGCATTCTTTTTTTTTTTTTAAGTGCAACCTTCGTTTGGTCAGCAGACTCACTCACAGCCCGATATTTCCTTACAATCATCGATGATTTTAGTAGAGCCATTTGGGTCTATCTAATGAGTTATAAGTCGAAGGTGGAAGGGTACTTAAAATGTTCACAAACATGGCCACTACTAAGTTTGGGAAGCAGGTAGCTCGAATTCTAACATCGAAGGGTCCTGCTTCAAACATCGTGTAGTGATACACCCCAATATAATGGGGTGGTCGAGTTCAAGCACGGTCATTTTTGCGAGACAGCTCGGGCTTTGCGATTTCGAGCTAATCTTATGTTAGGATTTTAGGGGAGTGCATCATGATGGCTACATACATGATCATACGGCTACCAGCCAAAGTTCTGCAGAATCACACTCTATATGAAGTGTTACTCTGAAAATGCCCTCCAATAAGCATCTCTGGAATTTTGGTTGTTTAGCTTATGGTAAAGATACACACAAAGGAGGCTCCAAGTTTGGCAAGCGTTGTCATTGTTCAATTTTAATGGGGTATCCTTCGTTTTAGAAAGGATATCGTTTGTATGATTTAGCCAAGGGTGCATTCTACACTTGCCGTCATGTGATTTTTATTGGGGGTGTTTTTCCCTTTCATGAACCATCATCTGACTCTCTCACAAAAGGAATTACCCCTGCCATTTCACATACTTTCTAGCTTAGGAGGAAGACTTGGATGGTCCACTTCTCTTGTCAAGCTCGCTCCCTTTCCACGATGATAAATCACCTACAACATCGGCTATTCCAGGTACTTTTTCATGGTGTCCCCTTCTTCTGCGCACAATCCTCTGACTTTGCCTCATTCACTTATTTTTTAGTAGTCGATGGAGGGTTTACGTCGCAATCTCCTTGTTCGGTGGGATGGTAGTATTGAACTCTATCGATCTTTGCCTCATTCACTTTTTGGGTGAGCATTCATTGTCTCCTTGCAGTTGCAGATGTTCATGGTTGGGTGGTAGATCAACTGGATGTCTATAAAGTGTTTCTTTATGGTTGACCTCCAGGACAAAGTTTATATGCATATCCCTCCTAGGTTTGCAACACCTGGAAATTCATGGGTTTATCATTTGCACAAGTTTACCTATGACCTCAAGGAAGCATCGCGTAACTGGTATATGAAAATTTAAATCCACTCTCGCTGACATTGAGTTTCAGCAGTCATGACATAGTACGTACTCCTACGTGGATGATGTGATCCTGGCAAGAAATTATATGGATTTTATTTACATGAAAGGATATACTTCAATGTCAATTCGGAATTCAGAACTTGGGACCCCTCAAGTATTTCTTAGGCATTGAGTTCGCTCGATCTTGAGATGACATCGTGTTTTGCCAAAGGAAGTACACACTCAACCTCTTGCGTGATAACAGAATTTTGGGTGTTCTTCCTAGTTATTTTACTATAGAGCAGCATCACCATCTTACTCGGCCACCGGATGGCGAATCTTCTTGTGTTTATAAAGCTAGCGATGTCGCGTATAGTCAGTTGATTGGCCGTCTTTATTATCTTACCATGGCACATCCTGATATTGTCTATGATGTCAACATACTCAGTCGCTATGTCCATGCTCCTACCTCGACACATTTAGCAAGAACCAAACGTGTTCTACGCTATTTGAAGACTGCACCTAGTCAAGGTATTCTTCTTTCTTCTACCGATAATTGATGTCACATAGCCTACTGGATGCAGATTGGAGAGGCTGTCAGTAGTCTCGTCAGTTCACCTCTGGGTACTTTGGCACTTTGGGTGAGGTCGTGGTTTCTCGTTCCTCTACCAAAGCGAAGTACTGAGTCGTGTCCAGCGTCATTAGTGAAGTTATTTGGCTCCATACTCTTCTTAGGGATTTGGGAGTTCCGTCCGATGGTGCTATGGTCCTTGTTGTGATAATTAGGTTTCCCTCAATATTGTAACTAATCATGTGTTCCATGAGAGCACAAAGCATGTAGAAATGGATTGTTATTTCATTCATGAGCATCTCACATCCAACGAAATTTATCTTCAGAAGGTTTCCACTCACGGCTAGCTTGTCGATTTGTTCACAAATAGGCTTGCTGGTGATCATTTCGAGGAGTTGTTACTCAAGGTGGACATTTATAACCTCCATGCTTCAGCTTGTGAGGGAATAAGATATATAATGTCAATCATTGTACGCGGTCATTTGCGTGGAACTGTGGAAGGGTATGAGAGTCTTTTCCTCTTATTGGTGTGTAACCCTAGCTACGTCCAAAGTCATAAGGTATATATGTTCTCCTTGCATTCGGTTGCCACACAATAAGGAAAAAAACTCGAGAGAGCTAAACTTATCTATGGAGTAAGCTCATTCACACTAAATGAGAAGAACCACGTAAATATCGTGTCTCGTGTTATTTAATTTCTCGTCTGAGAAATCTTTCAAGGACAATATCTTCTACTAGACGTAGCAATAATTTATCGTTAACACTTCAAGTAAGGGGGTAACAAACATGAGTATAAGTCCTTTCAATAGGTTTGTATATACTCCTTACTTGAGTTAGAATAAGTTTTCCTCTATCATTTTTTTCTTTTTATGAGGTACTGGCTAGCCACTGCTCTATTCAATACACTTTTCCATGCTTTAGCATATTATATTACTTTCAATCTACCATTGTGTATCCCTTGACGAGGAAAATGAGTTTAAATATTATTTCTTTACATTATAATCAAGTAACAAACGAAAACAGTGATGATATGAAAATAACCACTTAAGTAATTAATAAAATACACGTAAGATTATTTTATTACAAATCCCATACTTGAAACAAAATAGAGATAGTATCTTGTGGATTACCAAATAGTAAGTTGGTAATTAAAACTCATCACTAACTCAACGCTGACATTATGAACAAATGAGTAGTTTTCAGTTTTACATATTCTTACACATTTTCCCCCAAAAAAACTAGGAAGAGAAAAATTAAAAAGAGAAGCAAGAAACCAAGAGGACGAAAGAAAAAGGATGATAATAGACATAAAAGAAAAGAGTAAGGATGAAAGAGAGAGGAGCGTAAAAAATGTTGCCGCCGTTCAATTCAATCGGAATCCGAAAGGGACGGCGGCGGAGTCCAAATGGAAGCAGAGAGCAAACGCCTTGACTTCCAACCCAGAACCAAACGGTTGCACCCCAATTCCTCCACCCTGTAACCGTCGTTGAACAATCCAAGCAACAGCTTCGCCTGACAGTGATTCGCGAAGCTCACGCCCTCTCTCCTAAACCCGTTCGCACCCAACCATTCCCACCACGACGTCCCGCTTTCACCGTCCTCTCCCCTCCCCCGGGCCCTGTAAATCCGGCCCACCGAGCCCACTATCCTTGGGCCCAAAAAAACCCGCTCCACCAGCGCCCTCGCCCGGCCCTGCATCGGAAACCCAGCCTCCAGCGAGTCGTACAAAGCGGAGTAGTGGTGCAGGGTATCCATGAACCGACCCATAAACCCACGGCTTCCACCCGACCCGGTTTCCTCCGTCGCCCCCACCTCCTCCTCCACCACGGTTACCAGCCTCGGGTTCAGACAACCCGACCCGTTTAGAAACGACGCGACGGATTCGGGCGCCCGGTTCGTGAAGTGAGGCAAGTGGAGCATACAGTTCATCACCAACGCCTCCCCTCTCACGACCTTCACCGCCGACGGCCGGAACGTCTCGTCAGAGTCGAGCCGGCACTGGTGGAACGAGAACGGCTGCCCGATCGACGCCGCGAAGGCGACGAGCCGCCGGCCGGTCTCCTGCACGGTCCCGATCGACATCCTCCGGTGGGCCCCGCTCCCGCCGCGGGACAGGGCCGTGATCCGGAGGTGAGGGCTCGGTGGGCCTTCTTTTCTGGACGCCAGGGACTGCATCAGCGAGGCCCACTGGATCCCTTCCATGATGTCGTAATCGACGATGTGGATCCGCCGCTCCTGGGCCACCGCCTCGAGGATCGCCTGATTGGCGGTGAAGTGCCCGAATTTGACGTACGGCGACATGTCCTGCAGCAATTGGAACGCCGCCAGGACATCCGCCAGCTGGTGCTCGTCCCGGTGGCAATTGGGGATCAATTGCTGCCGATTCTTGTTTCCGCCGCCGCCATCGCCGCCGTCGAGCAGGTAGTGCAAGGCGTCGGTGAATTGAGCAGCCAGTCGCTCCATGTTGGAGCCGTGGTGAGGGGAAACCAATTCCCTGAGCCGAACCAATATCACGCGGGCGAGATCGGGGGATCTCGTCGGGCCGTCGGTGAGGGCCTCCGCCGCCGCCATCAGGAGGTGGACCAATCTCAGCCCTTTCGAGTCCTGTTCCTCTTCCACCTGATCTTCTTCTCCTTCCCCTTCCTCTCGCTCTTCGTGGTCGATCACCATCGCCGCCGAGGTGTCGCCGGAGTTGGTTGTGGTGGTGGGGCTGTAGTTGTTGAAACCCTCCTCCTCTGCATCCGCGGCGGCGGTGGCTCCGGCCAGAAGGTCGTGGAAATCGTCGCGGTGGTGGCCGGACAGGACTTCCCAGTCGACGACGGGGGACCAGCCCTGGCTCCAGTGGGAGAAGTCATCGGTGGTGGTGGTGCTGCTGCTGTGGCTGGAGAGATCGAGGTGCAGGTCATGATGGTGGAAGCCATTGATGGCCGCCATAGCCATGGCAGTGCTGGAGTTGGTGGACTCTGTTTTTTTTGCCTAGCTACCACCCAGCTTGTAGAAATGTAGTGTGGAATTTATATTTAAAATTGGGGTTTGGGAATTGGAGAGAAGGAGTTTCGAGCTGCATATATAAAGGGCTGGAGCTAGAGACAGTGCAGATTTTTCTAATAAAAATAAAAAAAAAGAAGGTTATTGGAGATGGAGTTTTGGAAGCTTACTTTACAGAATAGATGAGCTGCTAATGGTTTAAGAGTTTCCAGTGCTTTGATTTATTTATATTTATTTTTATATATGTGGAACTCTTGCTACAAGCCATCGAGTATGACTTCATTCTCTAGTTGTTTTTTTACGGTGCTGCCCCTTAGATTATTGTAAAAATATTCGTCTCTCTCATGCACACACCAATCATATAGTCATTTTACTCATTTTTTGGGTTTGGGTTTGAATGATTTGGTTATCGTCCGTTTTGAGCTCTAATATTCCAAAGGACAAGAGAGCCTCTAATTTTTAAAGTTTACGAATAAGGTGTACTTAGCCAAACAGAACAAGTCTTTCCTTATTGTGAAGTTTGATGTTGATGTTCTGGTGGAGAGAGGTGATGGAGCCAATGGCCTTTGTCAGATATTCAAACCAACAACAAGAAATCTTGCTTTTCCGGCCTTTTTTTTTCTCTCCAATGTGGGTTTTCGGTATAAATTTATCAATAAATTACATGATATCTGCGAACATTTGATTTTTCAACTTACATGGTAAACACCAAGGATGAATACTAAGCCATTTCAAAATCGATCAGTATGTAATTCAACTTTTTTCCCTAGGTCCTTGTGCTTGTATGGCAGCTTGTTCTCTAGGATAACAATACACTCATCATTTAGTATGACAATGGAGAGGTCTCCTAACTTCCTCTTGTTGGCGAGGATATTGACTTACTTCAGCTTCGCCATGGAATTGGCGAATTCGGTCTCCAACCTATCCTTGTAAAACCGAGTGGGGAAAGGTAGTTGAGGCTTAAACTCCTTCACCATCGGTGGTGGTGGTGGTGGAGGAGCAGGTACCGTGTTCTTGATCTCTTCAGCAACAGGATCTGCCTACACTAGAGTAGATCCTAAATTTCACTACTGAATCCATGTGCATCAACTCGAAAACAGGATTGAAACCCGATTTGAGGGGGAACTCTTCATATGGCTTAGGAATGGGTATATCTATGGTCTCCTTCCCACTATAAAGCACTATTGCCTTCAAATAACCTTTCCGGTAATGAGGATTTGCAACTGTATGATCTGGAAGTGCACTAGGAGCTCTAGCAGAGATAGCCTGAGCTATGGTGGGAAATAATAGGGTTGCTACCAGCTAGACAATGCTTGTCAATGAAGAACTTTGCTATCTTTTCTTAAATTTTATGGAGTGTGCCTCTTTAACAGGAAGGATCATTGAGATTGTGGCATTATTCTAGAGAGGCAAGCTTGTCATGTTCAAAACATATTAGGGGACACGCGTGTAGCGCTACTCATTTATCCTGCATCCTACTCTCACCACAAGTATGGAGAAGTAGACCATAAAATACATATTAGAACACACAATAAACTACACCACAAAATAACATAAAATATACCAAAAAGCTTATAAAGCATAATAGAAAATCATCACGTCACAAAATTCATAAAGCATACCATAAAACTCAAAGTTTGTCACAAGTTTCTTACAATAAACGAGAAGTCTCATAAAAAATACCACAAGTTTTTTAAAACAGACAGAAAACCTCATAAAGCATACCACAAGTTCCCTAAAGCACACCATAAACCTCATAAGCATACCACAAGCTTCTCGAAGCATACCATAAAACTCATAAAGTAGACAAAAAGTTTCACGAAGCATATCAGACACATCATAAAGCAGATCATAAGTTTGGTGAAGAAAACTAGAAATATGTACAACCACAACAGAACTGTCATAAAGCAAACTAGAAAGACGAGAAACCACACCATAAATCTCAAAAAACAAAACGAAATGTTATAGAAGGATGGGAAGTACAATATAATTGCTTTAAATTAATAATCGTTAAATTAATAACCTAGTATAAATTAATAATTTCTCTTGTCTCGACTTGGGTCAGTGTAAGAAATGGGCAAATTTAATAAAATAATCAGATAAATTTTTTTGAGAACCAACCTACATAAATACATGTATTTTTAACTCTATAAATTAATAATTTTAAAAATACAATTCATCTAGAAATTTATAATATAGCTAGGATAATTTAGAAAAATATGAATAAATAGTTGTTTGTTTATTCTTGAAGTTCAAGATCAATAGAAATTCATCTTGAACTTTCCTCATTGCACTCAAAGTCTCCGGTGTTATACTCACATAACTGTTTACGTATTTGATCGGTCATGGTGGACTTTTGGACACCTTTTAAATGAGAAGTAATTGTTGAATATGATTTTTACAATGTTTATGTAGTACTATTTATAGTGATCGGGTCACCATATATTCAATAAAATATACTGAGTGTATGATCAATGAATATAGGGATGCAAGTAATTTAAAACATGAATCTAGACCATCTACAATAATACATCGAATACATTTATCTTGGAAGAATACATAATTTTCTTCTATTAAATTTTAGTAGAATAAATACGTAGAATACGATAAGTTATCGTATGAACTTGAAATGTTTGGAAGATACAATCAATGCACACCATCAGAAAATCTCTTTAAATAAATTATTACTAATTTATCTATTAATTAATAACTACTATTATTTTTCGCGGTCCCGACTATATATTATTTTATAGAGGTTATACTATAATAATAAAAATTTATAATGGTGGCATAAAGTTTTTATAATGGTAAAATAAAAAAAATTACAAGTAACTTGTTGGTTATTTTTTTGTTACCTGGGGAGAAGTGGAGGTAAGAGTAAAGGACTGGGTAAGTAACTACTATGTAAAGTAGTGATCACAATACTCTTAAAAATTATGTTGGCATGTTACTAACACTAAATGGAGTTAACACACTATCTCTCGACGTAACTAACCGCAAAACTCACAATTTTGTTAGTCATTAACCAAAAAATTATTGTGATGATTCACCAAATCGTGTATGGTTTGCCCTTAAACCAAACTTTCCACTCCATTATATCCACCAACTATGATAATTGCCATGACTATATATAGTTCACCCTTCATCATAATTCTTTCATGATCTACTCATATTTCATCAACTTAAGTTTTTACTCTTTTAACTGTACGAAATACACGATTTTTTTTTTTTACTTTCCTTAAGATTGAAAGATTCTACTATGAAACAAGAAAAAAAAAAAAAAAAAAAAAGTGTAAATGTATTGATGTTGATTTGCTGACAGGGTGGATTTGCCACTGGCAAAATAGTAGCAACTATAAAACGTCGTTTAATATCTCTTCAAGAAGCAAAAGGCGGTTAATATATCCAACGGCCGGCCGGCAAATCGGCAAATATATAATAGTCCAACAAAGTCAGAAGAGAGGTGGAAAGCGATGGAGATGCACGTCCGCGATTGCTGGACTGGCGACAATCGGTGGCGCGTTTTTCAGTTTCCTGTTGGGACGGCTGGCCTTGTTCGTTGTAGTTAGCGCTAAGGGCACCTGCTCCAGTGTTTCCGAATTAACTGAAGCATCCTGCTACTGTTGCAAAATTCCCAACATTTGCCTGTACCCAGTAGTTGAAGCATTTCCGTCTCAGGAGCAGACCCATTTTGGAGAAGAGGTGAAACTTTTCGCACGGGAATGAGTAGTGACTGGGCTGAGGCTAATGAGCAGAGGCGGATATGTGTAGATTTAATGTGAAACTTTTCGATTTGTTCTCGGGATAACCATCATACCGGCTCTGGAATAGGGATGACAATTACCCACTCATGGGTAATTCTACCTGAAACAAAACAAACACGTTTATTTTGGGTAGTGCCGGCATGAGTGAAGTCTTATATAGGTTTCCGGTTTTGTAGATGAGTTTGCGTAGGGTATTGGGTATTGATTCCCTATTGTAAGTGGCTATGGGTTGGGTATGGATGCCTACTTTCTTGAGGTAGTTTTAACTACACATACAAAATTGAACCTATTTGTCAAATTTTAAAAGTTTAAGTATCAAAATGAAATACGCAAAAGATTAGGTAATAGATTGTAATTTTTCATCAATATTTTAAGGATTTATAGGCGGAAAAAAATAGATAATAAATCTAAAGATGTAATTTACATATGGGAACCCAAATTCGTGGATTAAAAATCCATCCAACCCAAATAAATTAGTATAAGTATAAATCCATCAAACTCTAACGTGGAAGGAAGATTAGAAGCCCCAAGGGGTTATGAGTTATGACCTTGTTTGGCAAGTACAATTACCGATATTTACCATGGGGGCTAAAAATGTCGAAGCTACCTATCCAAGAATGGTAGATTAGATATGGTTTTCTCCCGCCAGCTTGGCAAATGTCCATATAGGCCTATGTGACACCAACCTCACTACAACTGATGATGCTTATGTTAACAACAAGATAAGATTTTTCACAAAATTCTGCAACTAGTGATTCACGATTACTCGTCGTTGCATAGGGGCGGAGCTACATAAAGTCTCGGGGCCTGCAGAAATTTTTTGAACATAATATGTAAAAGTATCGGAGATTTTGAAAATTACGTATACATTAACAATGATATAATTAAACCATGCGTAATTGTACAATTCAATTACTTCTACCTTAGCGTATAGGTTCTAGTTTCAGGTGGAAATAGTCAGAGTTAATTCAATACATGATGGCAGTGCTATACATTTTTTTTATTTTATCTTTTTAGTATATTTTTGCTCAAAGTCAATTGATTTTCATATCTTTCTTATTAGGTCCTCTGTAGTTTCAAACTAGATATATCAAGTTCTTCGACTTATAAATTCATAATCTTAAGGATTACTTTTCAATACATGACGAATGTTTTTGTTCAAACATTAGTGCTCATGGACATTCATATTTTTTAGATACAATAATAAAGAATAACATGGTACAAATTGAAAAGGATAATAAGTTTTCGGTTGGTAATTGGCTTATTTATGAACATACCATCACTTTTCATTTTTTTAAACTTGTTGCGACATTTTGTAAAAAATATTCGATACTCCAATCTGCAAATTTTGGCTCCACCCCTGCATTGCATCGTAGAATATTTGTTTCTAATGGTTGGAGATTTCAAGAAGGGCCTGGGAAATTGTTGAAGATCGTACCTAAGCACATTGGCGCTCGCTGTTTCGCGCGCACTACCTGCATCCGCAGTCGCACCATACACAGGGCTGCAAACGAGTCGAGTCGAGTTGAATTTTTGTTTAGATTGAGCTCGTCTCGTTTATAAATTTTTTAGCTTGAACTCGAATTTTGATCATCCAGCTTGAGCTCGAGCTCGAGCTCGACTCGATTAAAAATAATCCAGCTCGAACTCGACTCAGTAGAGCTTGATAAATGCTCATTAACACAACTTGTCAAGCTGAGTACAAGCTCGGCTCAAAATGAGCTCGATTTGAAACTATTCTTGCTGAAAAATGTGTACAAATAAGAACATAATAAACTAAGAATGATAAAACAACACTAGAAACTAAAAATTTACAGCTAACTTCCATACACATCCTTATTAACAAGATAATTTTCATGTTAAGAAAAACAATTAATTCTTCTACAAGCTCCAAACAAGCCAGCTCGCGAGCTTAGCTCAATAAGCCACCAAGTCAAGCTATCTCACGAGCTTATCAAGCTGAGCATGGTCTAGCTCAAGTTTGGCTCGTTTACTAACGAGCCTGCTCGCGATCCGGCTTGTTAAACAGCGAGTCGGGTGTCGAACGAGTTTTTTCTGATTCGAATGCCGAGTTGCTCGCAAGTGGCTTGGCTCATTTGCAGCCCCAAGTCTATACAGCGTCGCCATAATCGTGATTGCATCCTCTCTCTAAACTTGTATTCTCTTGGATCTTCCTATTAATAAAATAATATCCACATTCCCACATCTAATCGCGTCCTCGTTAGAATTATGCTGACCTCATACACTCAGTTAAACACAAACAATTGGCATCCACCATGGGACCACGAGTATGTCAGGAAAACAAATAGCAACCCAAGGTACATAGCAACCCTATGCTTCAAAATCCATAGACGACACTATCGACCCGTTGAAGGCGGTCACCTGATAGAGAATTTTATACACATAGATGGACCGCAACGTCGTGCTGATCAAAGAGGTGGAACCAAATATTTCGAGAAAAGAAATTCGTGCACAATTAAGGCAACAAAATAAGCTGATATTCTATATGCAGGAGAAAAAGAACCACATAAGCGAGCTCATGAGCACGAGCAAAGCTTCTCGAGAAGCCACTCCAAACACAACCCTAGCCGCTTTAGAGACCCAGACCCAACCTCAAGCGCCTCAGGCGGTCCCTCCACAGAAGAGAGCGTATCTCGATTTCTTGGAGGAACATCTTTCTCCTTGTTACAAAGCTTCACAAAGGCATGTGATACAATAGCCACTGTGCATGGAAATCATGGCCAAACATATTCCAAAAAACCCATCCACCCTTCTCACGTACAATGTTACTACGGACATTGATGATAACCTTAGCGCCTTCAGCCTATGTATTCAGTTACAAAAATACTCCAATGCCATCATGGTCAGGTAAATGCATCGACTGGTACTATTGCTTGACAAACGAGATTATCCAAACATTCGACGAACTGATACACCTCTTCACAACGAAGTTTTCCACAGAGAAAAGAAGACCTCCTCCACCCAAGGCTCTCGCTGACATACACCAAAAGGAGAATGAAAGTTTGAGAGCCTTCTACATGTGACGAGCGTGTGTTGCAATGGCGGTACGTGACATTACTCCAGAAGCTGTTGCGGCCAAGTGGAATCTACCATTCATATTCTTAGAGACTGTCCACCATCAAAAATTTTCTAGACCAGACGCGTCCCCAGCATAAAAAAAACAGAGTTCCTTCACGGCAACCGCTGCCGATTCACTCCACCTTCTTTAGCATCACCGCTTGGCTAATATGGAAGAACAAGAATGATATTTTCTTCAAAGGGGTCCCCTCGACTCTCACCCCCTTCCTTGGCTCACTCTATCATCGTCAAAGTCAAGTTGTGGGTGAAGCTCAATATTGATTGCTCACTCTATCCTCGACCCCCCTCTTTCCTGTCGAGTTCGAATAATATACCAGTTCCACAGATCATGGCAGCAGTTGCATGGACACCTCCTCCGAAAGGGTGGCTGAAGCTCAATATTGATGGCGCCTCAAATGGGAATCCAAGACTTGCTGGTGCGGGAGGAGCCTTGACAGATGGGGTGTGGGCGGTGGATTACCGGGTTCACAACAAAGATTGGTGAAACATCAATGGCTCTGGCTGAGTTGTGCGCATTTTATCATGGGTTGGGTTTAGCTTAGAAATCAGGATGTCGAAACCTTATTATAGAGTCGTACTTGCAACTTGCCATTCAGCTGTTTAGCGACAGACATGACCCAGTACATTCTTACGCCACCTTGCTTTCCTTAATTCGTAGGAAAATAAGTCGAGATTGGCTGGTGTGCATTCTTCATGTATACCGAGAGGGAATAGAGTCACAAAATTATTTCCGAAGCGCAGTCTCATCTACCCCTACGATATACATGAGCTTGCACAACTACTTGCGGGCGTGATTTCCATTCTCAATGACAATATTCAGGGAGTGTCTTTCGATCAGCAGATTGTGTCCCTCCATAGTACTTCCTCTCTTCATCCTCCACCACTGTAAGTCTCTGTTTCTTGGCATTAACCTCCAAATATGCGAAAAATAGTATAACAAGCATCATTACATACTAAATAGTTTTTTTTTTTTTTACAAGGGTGGTATAGATTTACTTTTTATGGTTAGGTACTATTAAAAGAATTCGAATATGGAACTTTCAGGGTTCAAAATTAGTAATATTACCATTAGACTAATTATTTATTGGTACACCCTAATACTTAATCATATGTCAAATATAGAAATTTAATTAAGCAATGTCGGTGGGTGGACCTAGGTTATTCTTTATGTGACCACAAAATTTGAGTTGATGGTGGTCGAGTGATGGACCCACAAACCACCCTATATGCTCTGTTCTTAATCCACATTTTATAGTTCTACACCTATCATTTTGTCTCAACTAAATTTACAATTATTATTTTATTATTATTTTTGCCTACATGAAATTGCATATTATTATTATTTTAAATAAAATAATTATATATAGGATGTTTATTGTTCACAAGTAAGATGATAACATAAATATATGTAATATATTACTGAGCGGTTATTGATTTTCTTGATCTATATATATTAAGCTTGTTTTCTGTGTAAAACTTTATCGACCAAAACTGAGCCATGATTCACCAATGCGGCCACTTGTATTGTGCAAATGGATGAATACGGTGAATTTTTCAACCATCCACCAAAGTTCAAACTATAAAAGTGATCAAATATGAAGCTACAAACCATCAAAATAGTTCATCTAATTCCTTTATAATTAAATAGATGTTCTTACCATATGCAGTATCAAGCAGAGTGCATCAGAGGAGATCAAGGCATTCAAACAGAGCTGCACTCTGCTGAAGGTAGAAGACGAAGTGCAGGGGTTCGGGTCAGAAGATGGATCGGGCTTCCTTTAACCCGGTTCAACCAAGTCCAGACCGTAAGTAAATAAAGACGACGACGTTTGGAGTGAGTCCAACGACACTTAGCTGCTGAGTCTGGTTTTGACACTTGTCCTGCTGTAATTAGTTCATTTAATTTGTTAGTTGTAATTAGCCGTTGTAACAGTAGATTAGGAAGATGTAATTACCTAACTCTCTGTATATATGCTGCGCAAAATGGAATGAGATGGCATTCTGCCAAATTCCTCCAAATCAATCGTTTCTCTCTAGAACTACAAACCCTAGCAGCCGCTAGATCTACTTTCTTCTCATGGTATCAGAGCCTGGTTAAGGCTGCTGTATACCTTTTCTTCCTTCACTGATTTCACACCTTTACCTTCCGCGTTTCTCACTTCGCCATGGCTGGGATTGAGTCATCGGATTCGGCTGAGACGGAAGTCACACCTCCGCCTCCTCCTCGTTACGAAGATCCTTACTCCAACCCATTCTACTTGGCTCAAAGCGACAATTCTTTTCTGCCGGTGATCGGTTTCAAGCTGACAGACGACAACTACCTCCTCTGGAGTGAATCCATGGAGGTTGCCCTGCGCACGAAGAACAAACTGGGTTTCGTTCTGGGCACGATTCAGGTACCTCCTTTGACAGATCCATCTTATGGAACTTGGGATCGTGTGAATGGTACTGTAGTGTGCTGGATTAGAAACTCTGTATCAGAGGACATCGTTCCTAGTCTTCGTAACATTAGGGTTGCTTCAGAGGCTTGGACTTACCTGAAATCCAAGTTTAGCCAAGGAGATATTATAAGAATTGCTAATCTCCAGGAGAAAGTTGACTTAGCCAAACAAGGAACTCAAACTGTTAGACAGTATTTTACCAATCTGAAGCTAGCTTGGGATGAACTGAAAACTTATCAACCAATTCCTTACTGTGATTGTGCTGCTGGTACCTATGCAACTGTCATGAGGTATGAGGAGAGGGGAAGAGTGATCCGTTTTCTGCTGGGTCTGAATGAAAAATACCAGCAGGTGAAGACTCAAATGCTGATGTTAGACCCTCTCCCAGACTTGGACAGCATCTATCGTTCTGTTGTGCAACTTGAAAGACAACTTGATGGTGCTAGTGCTAATGCTGGTAAATCTGAGGAGGCTATAGCACTAGCTACTGCACTTGCAGCTTCCAGGACTCAGTATAATCAGTACAATCAGTCAAGGGATAAGAATCAATCTGAGCATCAACCAGGAGGACTTTTTTGCAGATATTGCAAAAAGGACAATCATGTAAAGGAGGACTGCTGGAAACTCAAGAAGAAGAATGGCTTACTTGGAAACAATCCTGGAAGAGGAAGCAACCCAGGAAGAGGGTTTGCTGGTTCTGTTGATGTCAATACAGCAGAGGGTAATGCTTCAGGAGGAGCTGGTTCCTACTCTCCTACCAGTCCCATAAGTCAACAGGAGCCACATTCACCAACCTTCTCTGGTTTCACTGTTGATGAGCTCACAAGGCTCAAGGCTTTATTGCAGCCAGCTTCCAGTTCACATGGACCTTCTCAAACTAATTCTGTGGTTTCTAGATCACAGCCTATGTCAGGTATTCTGTCTCTTTCCACTTTAACACAAAAGAGCAATCAATGTGTGTGGGTTCTAGATACAGGAGCAAGTGATCATATCATTTGCTCCATCACCTTGTTCTTGAGGTGAAAGAGGGTTAATGATGTGTCTGTCACACTTCCAAATGGCCAACAGGCTTCAGTTACACATCTAGGTGTTGTTAAGTTGCCTTGTGGCATTTTTCTTACCAATGTGCTGTTGGTACCTTCTTTTTCCTACAACCTGATTTCAGTTAGTCAGCTTACCAAAAACAGTCCTGTCTCATTGTTGTTTCAATCCACTTTTTGTCACATCCAGGACCTTATCTCTCGACAGAGGATTGGTTTAATCCCAGTAAGTAGAGGACTATACCTTCTTGGAGATTCCAGTGGCCCAGGAGAGACTTACAAAAACCAGATTTTTGGAGTGAACACAAATCAAGAGAGTTCCAGTTTATGGCACAAGAGACTAGGCCATCTTTCTTTAGATAGATTGAAAAGAATCAAACAAACTTGTACTGAGGTTGTTTTACCAGAGAATTTTGACTGTGAAGTCTGTCATTTGTCTAAACAAAAGCGTTTGCCATTTCCCAACAGCACCTCTTATTCCAAAGCACCTTTTGATTTAATACATTGTGACATTTGGGGGCCAGTTAATGTTGTTTCACTTGATGGATATCAATATTTTCTCACTGTTGTTGATGATCATAGTCGTTGTACTTGGTTATACTTGATGAGTCACAAGTCAGAAGCCAGGGGTTTACTTCAATCATTCTTTGCAATGGTTGAAACCCAGTTTAATAGGAAAGTGAAAGTTGTGCGTTCTGATCAAGGCCAGGAATTCAAAATGTCTCCATTTTATCAGCAGCAGGGATGTATCCATGAAATGAGTTGTGTGCATACTGCTCAACAAAATGGTAGGGTTGAGAGAAAGCACCAACACATTCTTAATGTGGCTAGGGCATTGAAGTTTCAGTCAGGGCTACCAATCAGTTTTTGGAGTCATTTTGTAATGCATGCTGTATATCTCATCAACAGGACACCTACTCCTGTTTTACAACATAAGTCTCCTTTTGAGACCTTGTTTGGAATCCCACCAGACTATAGCAACCTTAGGGTTTTTGGTTGTCTAGCATTTGCCACAAATACTGAAGATCACAAACCTAAGTTTGCACCTAGAGCTGTCAAGGCTGTTTTTCTTGGTTACAGTTTTGGGATTAAGGGGTTTAAACTGTATGATCTTGCCAAGCATTCAGTGTTCATCAGCAGGGATGTTGAATTCAATGAGACTGAATTCCCTTTCTTAACACCTCAATCACCTACTGCCCCCACTACTTCTTCTTCTCCAGATCATCTTCCTTCCTTTCTCTTTGATGATGATCTTCCTCTTCCTCAGGATCATAATCTCCATGAGACTAATGATCCTGATTACTCACCTACACCACCAACCTCACCACCTACCTCACCAATGCCTTCACCCTCTCCTCCTGCTACTCCACCTTCTTCTTCCACTCCTAATCTTTCTCTTCCCATTGCCCTGCGCAAGCCTCAAAGAGTCACTAGACCTCCCAGGCATCTTGAGTCCTTTCATACTTCTTTCTTGTCTGAAGCTTGTTCCACTTCCTTTGATGACAAGCTTCTGTATCCACTTTCTCACAGCCTTTCCTACTCTCACTTATCCCCTTCTCATAAACACTTTACCCTTTCCATTTCTATGAATCCAGATCCTCAGACTTATGCTCAAGCAGCTTTACATCCCTGCTGGAACCAAGCTACGAAGGAGGAGGTTAATGCCTTAGAGGCTAATGAGACTTGGGACATTGTTGACAGACCCCCTGATGTAGTTCCCATAGGCTGTAAATGGGTTTATAAAACCAAGTTCTTACCTGATGGTGCCATTGAACGTTTCAAAGCAAGAGTAGTTGCTAAAGGTTACACACAGACTTATGGAGTTGATTTTGTTGATACATTCTCTCCTGTTGCAAAAATCAACTCTGTTAAACTGCTCTTAGCAATTGCAGCAGCAAGACAGTGGCATCTCCATCAAATGGATGTGAGTAATGCTTTCTTGAATGGTGACTTAGAGGAGGAGATTTACATGGAACTCCCACCTGGTTTAAGGGAGCTAAGTCACCTTCAAGGAAAGGTCTGCAAATTGAAGAAATCCCTCTATGGGCTCAAACAAGCTAGTCGACAGTGGTATCTGAAACTCACTGATTTCTTGACTAAGCTTGGTTTTCAGCAATCATTTGAAGACTACTCAGTTTTTAAGACTTCCACAGTGGTGTTGGTCATCTATGTTGATGACATTATTGTGGCAGGGCCATGTTTGGAGGAAATTCAGCGTGTTAAGGCACAATTGCAGAAAGGATTCAAGGTTAAGGATCTGGGAAATTTAAAGTTTTTCCTAGGATTAGAGGTGGCTAGAACTCAGGCTGGAATCTCTTTATGTCAACGCAAGTTCTGTCTTGAAATGCTTGAAAATGCAGATTTTTTGGAGTGTAAGCCAGCCAAGACACCAATTAGCATGAAGTCTACACTGTCTGCTGAAGATGGGACATTGCTTGATGATGGGACAACTTACAGACACCTCTTGGGTCAATTGCAGTATTTGACTTCCACCAGGCCTGACATTTGTTTCCCTGTGCAGCAACTCAGTCAGTTTCAAGATCGTCCAACTAC